GGCCAGATCCAGCTAAAAGTAATCCTATTAAAGACAACAGAGTTAAATGAGTAAGAAGAGAAAGGTTTAATGCCATGTGTGATCACTGCAAAACTGTCTGGTTATTACATTCGCTAGTACACATGAAGAAATAACGTGGTCATACTAAATCACCTCAGTAGTCTATCAAGACTAATATCCTGTCTCTGGAAACTGCTTACACCTGACAGTCACAGAAAGATGAAGGAAAAACAATGCCCTTGGATGCCTTAGCAATGCTGTTCGTAGGCAGAGAACAGGGGCGATTCCTTCCTGAACCCTGCAGCCATCAGCCTACACGTTGAAGCATGAAATTTCTTTAACCCTTGCTCAACATGTCAAGTTGGAAACAAGAATCATAAAGTTATCCAGCCTGTTTTACACCACAGGTCTCCCTAAAGCGCCAAATTTTTCATGCAAATTTCAAGTGAGTCAGACCACAGGGCTCTTGACACTGAATTAAATATAGAGTCGCACAGGACAAAGTTTTACTTGTTCTACAAAAAAATGAATATTTTATGGTTTGATTGTAAGCTCATTGGGGTAGGGATGGTCTCTTAATGTGTGTTTGTAAAGCACCCACAGAGCCCCATTGTGTTCGGGATGGCTACATTGCGATAAGAAAACCATAGCACTGAGTCTCAGAGGCCAAGTCAACTGACCCGGGCTGCGGGGATATAAAATTTCAGTGTCGACAGTTGGGCTAGGGCTGAAGCCCACGCTCTGAGATTCTCCCCTCTCACAGGGTCTCTTAAACCAGGCTCCAACCTGAGCTCAAATGTACACTGCAATTTTGCAGCTTGAGCCCCACAGGCCTGAGTCAGTTGACTCGAGCCAGCCACCTCAGGCCTGAGTCAGTTGACGCGAGCCAGCCACCTCGTAACGGTGACTCCAGCCAGCCACCTCATTACAGTGTAGACATACATAAGGCTGACTGAGCCTTTGAGCATTACCATCTTACAAATAATACACAGTTCTACTTTGCAGGCCTTTGCAGAATTGTACTTGCAAATCTAAAAAAACCCGAACAAACAAAGTCTCACTAAAGAGCCTCAGTTTGCAAATCAGAACTATGGAAGAGCTCTGTCCTTCAAAAGGGAAAGAACAGTGAATGTGTAAGCAATAAAGGGCCTCTTCTCTATAAGAGCTGAAAATTCATGTCCTTCAGAACAACTTTATGGAGCCATTTAAACATCAAATTGCATATTTTATTTATCCCCATTAGATTATCATTTCAAATTCAGGATACTAATTTGGAAAATCCTCCTAGTATGTCTCTAGCATGGTCTTATAAAAATATCTCCATGTTTCACTTAATATAACTTTGGAAGGATTTCAAGACAAAAAAAAAAAAAAAAGCAACATAAGAGCCTTAACGATTTTGCTGACTGATACTCTTATTAAGTCTAATTTAAAAACAGAAAATAACCTTCATATAAATGATTATTTAAATGTGAAATAAAATGTAAAACAATGAAGCCTTGATACTGTGAATGCAATCGAGAGGAAACACAAAACTACTATTCATGTGTTTAAAGGTTAAAAGGGAGTTTCTATGTCTTTGGAGAAAATGCAAATATTTATTTGGGGGAATGATTCTAAATGTTACATTCACATGTGTGTATTCCAAGCTTTTTGTGGTCCTTAATGAAAGTCACCACACTATATTCAAGGGCAAGAATATGAAAACTCTAAGAATCCTGATATTTTACAAAACAAGGACCACAAAAGTAGTGGATATACAATTAGCATCATATTGTAAAATAAAGTACCTGAACAGACAACATCACTTTTTGCAGTTAGAACATAAGAATGGTCATACTGGGTCAGACCAAAGGTCCATCTAGCCCAGTATCCTGTCTTCTGACAGTGGCCAATGTCAGGTGTTCCAGAGGGAATGAACAGAACAGGTAATCATCAAGTGATCCATTCCTTGTCACCCATTCCCAGCTTCTGGCAAACAGAGGCTAGGGACACCTTCCCTGCCCATCCTGGCTAAAAGCCATTGAATTCAGCCTTGCCTATCTTTCTTTCATCAAAAGTTAAAACTTGATCTCCTGTGATTGTTTCAAACACTGATGTAAAATATACCATGTCTAATAGATTATTTAGCTGGTGTATACAATAAATTAGACGTTTTTCACAAGTCTTTCCCCCGCCCCTTTTTTTTTTAAGCAAACAAGCAGAGTATTTGGGTTTACATATCCTGTTTCCTTTTTACCACATAGCTAGCAGCTATCTTCTACGTGTTTTCATGCTATTTCTTTCACTTCTGCAGTAGCTGAAGGCTCCAATAATTATCACAGTTTATTTATTAGACAATAACTTATGGAGATTTGTGCTCAAGCATAGCAAAAAATACTGTTATACAGACGACAAGTTCAGCCTCCACATAAGAGAGTTTTAGGAGTGTTGCTTCTGGAATGTGTCTTCTCAGGAGAGCACAAATCATCACACAATTCACATAGGGTTTGAAATAAAAATGAATGGAACAAAAATAAAAAATAGAATTGTCATGTACTAAATGTTCCTCAAAACTACTATACCATAATATGCAAATTATAGTTACTACATGAAGTGGCAATCAGTGGTTCTGTATTTGTTTCAATCTATTACTTAAGTCAGACAAGGTAACTATACAAACCTTTTCATATACACTAACCTTGTAAAGTAGTTGGGAGTGCATGCTGGGGGGGAAGGGAGGCAAAGTTTACTTCATGTTTTCACATTATATGTTTGTCACTGGGGAATGTGGAACGGAAATTTAGGCATAAATTTTATTTTTATAAAATCAGTCTTCAAGATTAATCTTTGCCTATCAACTTCTACCACTGCCATAACATACAAATTGTTCTGCTTGAAATACATAGACCCGATAAATCTCAAAAGTTATCACCACAATATGTATCTCTAAATATGAAAGAGATGGGACTTTTTTCAGAGGCATAAATTGTATTTAGTACTAAACCTATTGCTATAGACTTGTACTTTTTTTTTTTTTTTGAAAAGCCAGAAAAGCCTGTTTATTAGAGTAAATATCCTTCTAGATTTCCTAAGTTTAATCAAAATATATCTGTATGCTACCTGTCAATCTGCACATGAAGCCAAATTAATCCCTTATGTTACTTTGTGGAAGTCAGTGGAATTACACTAGGGATGAATCAGACCCAGGACTTTTAGTTTTTGTTTTCATTAGATGAACTTTCATTTTTATTCAAACTGTAAATGAGAATAATGATGACTTGCATACCTGCTGCAGGGGTGTAGCTACAAGTCCAAATGAATGGGATGATTAATCCCCTCCACAAAAAAAACTGACTTCAGAGTAATGATTTGAAAGAGATTTAACAGATTTCATGAAACACAGGAGCTGAAATCCCATACTTTTCTAAATATGGGGTCTCATAAATAGGGTAATCCTAACAGATTTTAAATTGTTGGCCTAAATTTTCAAAACTGACTAGTGATTTTGAGTGACTTACTTATAGGTTACCAATTTAAGATACAATAAAGGGGCCTGATTTTCAAAGCTTAAGTGCACAGTGCTTTCAAAAAATTAGGCCCCTTCAAGGTGCCTCAGATTGGCCACCTAAATCCCTAATCACTAGTCACTTTTGAGAATGTAAGCTATTACTACTACAGATGGACTTGACCGCAGTTGTTTGTTAACTGAAACTGGACTTATTGTAAAGGATTTATTATGTTATGTATTTATTCATTCAGATTTATACACATTAAATAAAGATCGCCTATCCATATGTTCCAGGCATCCTAGAGACACAACCCAAAAATTCAACAAAATCAGTGCCCAAATGTAATTAAAGTGTAGCAGTACTATTCAAAACAACCCACTAACAGAAACCAGGCAATCCAATACCTAATTTTCCTCTCCCTCTAACAATTGTCGTCCTATTCTCAAATGACTGAAGAAAAAAAAAGATGAGGTTTGCCATCTGAAGGTAGTCAAAGTTAACCTGTTTGGTTTGAGAGGTGAGCAAACTGTAAAGCAATTTTCATGGAAAGCACTACGCCACAGCAGCTCCTTCTCAGGTCTACTACTGAGACTTCAGCTCAAACATCTTATCTGGTCTCAGTTGTGGTGGTCTGGTAGACAGGCAAGCTCTAAGCTGTTTAGGGCTGTATAATCAAAACAAACACCTTAAACACCACCTGGAAACCTACAAGTCACGAGTGAAGTTCATGGAACATGGGTTGAATATGTTCACAGCAAGGTATTGCACCTAATAAATTAGCTGAAATATTGCACCAACTCCAGTTCATAGTTTTAAAGTGTATCCCTATCTGCATCATGGTAATCTAATCTTAAAATGATAGCCATGAATGACAGTTACAAGGTCCACATCCAAGAAGCATACACAATTTTATCTGGTTGAAAAAAATAGTCTCCTAGATCCACTGGGAACATAAATAGCTTTTAACAACAACAACTTTTAAGTTTTAAGTTATTCTGACTAGTTGGCTGTTTCTGATGGCCCAAAAGGCTCTCAATTCAGGAAAAAACAGGGATCATTTTGAAAGGAGCTCAGGTTTTTTCAGACAGACTCTTTTGTGGTACACCATTTCTGGAGATGGAATCTAACCGTTTCTCATGAAATACCAATGCTTTTTGTCCTCCACAGCCTGGCCTAATAAAGGACATGAAGCACTTTTATTGCCTTCTGTGTGCCAAAAGATTTCCACCCATGCTTTGATTCCTCCTTATGATAATAGAAGTGTTCATGAAGGTGGAAGAGAAAAATTACTGAGCTAAAACACCCTATATGTTTACCTTTGAACAGACTCAATGAGTGGACATTTATTACCAAACAAATATCTTTATCAACAAATGCAATCCATTATGAAAATAATAGATATACCATAAACCTTTTTAGAGGTTTACTAGAGCTTTTTTCTATCTACTGGAAATTTTAGTTATGAGTTCCATTGTGCCAAGGACAGACCAGTCTTTTACAGACACTTACCCTCTGACAGCATGAATAAGTCTCAGTGATGGATAGGCGGTTCGCACTTTCAATTTATTCTTAAGGATTAATGCATTAACCCACTCCACATGCTTCTCTCCGCCTTTCACCATGAAAGCAGGAATCCAAAGGACACTGTCATTCAGCATGGATAGTCTATGCACAAATTTTTCTCTGTCACTCTCATTCCGAAAGCCTCCAAATGCTCTTTGTACAACTGATGGATTCATGGTAATAAAATCAGATTTAGTTCCCACATCTGCAGCAAACTCCACCACAGGGGCTAGATTGCACCTGAAGAGGAAGAAATTAATGGACAAATGAAAATAAATATGAACCATTAACTTAGATAAGGGTATGCATGAAGGAAAAGCTGAAAATGAACATGTAAGGCTGTTTCAAACTAGGTGAGCAAAAAAGTACCAGTGGTAATCTGCATGATATTACTTAGGGCTGTATACAGCCCGGATGTTCCAAGCATGTTCTAAGAAAGGTATTAAGTGTAACCAACTCAGTGAAGAAGATACTGTACAGTACATTTAAAATTCATATAATTAGTATTCAAACAGAATCTGTCAAAACGTAGACAAGTGCGTAACAATCGCAATATGTCTCTGACAACTATTGTTATTTTCACTAGTGTGTATTTGTATAATCTATCTTGATAAAATTCCTTGGGGACAGCTCAAGCTCTTAAAGGTAGTCATGCCAATCAAGTAAGATGCATTTATTTTTGTTATCTATTATGCAGTTTGTACAGTACAGTATTTCATACCAATCACAAACAACTGTCAGAAAAATCAAACTGGTTTGGGTTTGTTTAGTTTTCAGTAAAGCTGGTTGAAAAATTCTGACAATCACGATTTGGATTAAATTTTTACCGTAACATATTGACCATTAAGCTCATCATTAGTAACACATCCACATATTATACACCTGACAATATTTAAAATCTGTTCTACAATAAATTGCATTTAAAACTTTTAATATATAAATTATATCTACAGAACAATATGAGAATCTGTTTAATGCATATACACGCACAGGACAAACAAGTATCAAAATAGGTAGGGTTTTTCTTACTTATTTCTTTGTTTCTGCAGTTGTTGCTTTGCAACAAAATCTTCCTACTCTTCTACTGAGTAATCTTTTTGTTTGTGACAAAAATGGGATGTAAATTTTGCAAAAATTGTCAGAAAAATTCATGTAGTGACCATTTTATGGTGCTCATCAGTATCACAAATGTGCCCCTGGAAAACATTGAATTCATCCTCACAACACTGCCATCCAAGTCTAGTGCTTTAACCACAAGAGCTGCCTTCCTCACAATAATTCTCAAACAATGTAAGTTTAAATGAAGACAGTTAAGTGGGAAGTAGACGTTGAAATGGAAAAACATACTGGATCCACTTCATATCTGTGGTGTAACTCAAATGAAGTAACTAGAGTTTGTACAGGTGCCAGCACAATGGCTAATTCTGAACGTGACCCTTGGCACTACTATAATATAAATAATAGTGATTATAATAGAGGCTGATTCATTTCACAAGACACAAGATTTGCAATGCAAATTCTATTGCCTGTACATATAATTGCTAGAATCAAATGGATGTGAAGGATACGGTGCTGAAATTTTTTTTATGTAAAACTGCACTGACACAAATTTGGCCAGTATGTCTTTAAGACAAACCTCTTCTGATCTGGCAACTACAGTACTGTTTGAGTAGCATCATCTCGCTTCAATTCCAAAAGTTTTGTGCAGTTAGAAAATGGTGCCTAAATGTAATTTCCCCATAAACCTGAAAAATAATTATAAAGGCTAGTATCTTGTGAGTTATCACCAGTTCATGAGAAATAATACCTAATGCAAAAGGTTATGTTTTATAATGGTGTACTTTCTTGGCCTAATGTATCTGGCAGTACATGTTTTATAAACAGGCAGCATCTCGAGATTTTTCAACCCTGGGTTAGAAAAGGTAATAAGCCAGCCCAAATTCACTCCTTGGTAATGGACGTGTCCCTGCATTGTTATTAAACACCTTAATCAAATTTTTCAAACCTTGGTGCCTCATTATATGGATAGAGGAATTTAAATAAGTGGTTTTATTGTTAGACATGCTGTGTGTCTTCAATATTAGTGTTTGGTCCTCTGAGAATCTGGTCAGTTATTTTAGATGCATAATTATGAATTTAAGAGAATCATTTTAGGAACTCGGTTTGAAAAACTTTTGTGATAGTAAAAGTATGACAATGCCTGTGAAACTCTAATTTCATGAGAATATCTCAATGTTGCTATGGTAGTGCAGTGCCTACACTATTATTATTTTGGTAGAATACCAATGTAACACTAGCTGTTACAGCAATATAGAATTGTGTTAGGAGAACGAACAATACTACCCTGAGAGCGGCTGATTGCTTTATAATAGTATTATCAGACTTTGCTCACTTCCTACCTATTTAACAGATTTTTTTTTTCCAAAAAATGTGGCTTACAGAACATAAGATAGCAGTACTTAATGTTTTCTCAGTAGCTTAATAGCTTATAGCCCAGCCTAGAAGCAATGCAAAATCTTGCAAAATCTGTGAATTCAAAATAGCACGTTCTTCACAAAGCAACTTATGGTACAATTGTTTCTGCCATTCTAAGTGACCCATCCAAGATTATGTTCACAACAGTCATCAACTGTATTTCTGACACCAGGCTGCCACTACCAATCAACTTATATTTCCAGAGGATTCTTGGAAATCTGATATTAAGATGCCTTTCAGAATCTATTTTTTAAATACTTTGGACACACGCACATACTACAATAATGTGGGGTCACAGAGAGCGAGCAAGAGAGAGAGCACACTACAGAAAGATATCTGTATCCGCCTTACTGAAGGTTTCAGAGTAGTATACTTAAAAATAGGTACCTTTCTATAAACTTGGATGTGAATAATTTCCATAGAGAGATTCAGCACTTGCATACATTATGCTTTGGTTTCTGAAAAAATTATTAGCATTTTGGAGACTTAGTTCTTACATTATCAGCAAAATGTTCTTCTTTCTTCGTGCAACTGGGATTTTTCTTGGAATTCAGCACTGCATTTTCTGAATGATCACTACCTATGCCTATATGTATTTATATCTGGCATTAAGATTCACATATATTCTGCAGTTCATTAGATCTTTTTCTAGATCATAAACTAGTTACATTGCACATTTCCACTTTTCCACTCTCAAGAATCCACAATCAGGTCATTTTTTATTCTTTCTGGAAGGCTCAGATTCTAAAGCTTTTAGTTTAAGTCCTAAATGGAAACTACAGCATGTTTTCAGATACACATACATGAACCTTATAAAACCAGCCACTGCCCTTGCACACAGATCTAAGTACATGTAGATAATTTTCTGTATCTGTTTTAAGCTCTTTTTTGAGTCTCTAATGCACGATCTTTGTGATGCATCATGCTTGCAATACTGTACTTAAATAAACAGACTGTTTTCTTAGTTGGCATCAATTGTTTTCTACTGTCTATTCTGCAGATCTGTTTCAAGACAGCATCCTGAATAAGGAAAGCAGTAAACATGTGTTTAATTTTGAGCATGGGCTCAAATCTTACTGAAGTCAATGGACTTAAGCACATACTTAAAGAAAAGCACAGGTTTAATGCATACAGGAACTCTTCACTTAAAGTCGCCCCGGTTAAGGTTGTTTCCTTGTTACATTGCTGATCAATTAGGGAACATGCTCATTTAAAGTTGTGCAATGCTCCTGTCATAAATATAAAGGGAAGGGTAAACACCTTTAAAATCCCTCCTGGTCAGAGAAAAAACCCTTTCACCTGTAAAGGATTAAGAAGCTAGGATAACCTCACTGGCACCTGACCAAAATGACTAATAAGGAGACAAGATACTTTCAAAGCTCGGGGGGGGAACGACAAAGGTTCTCTCTGTCTGTGTGATGTTTTTGCCAGGAACAGAAAAGGAATGGAGTCTTAGAACTTGGTAAGTACTAGATATGCGTTAGATTCTGTTTTGTTTAAATGGCTGATAAAATAAGCTGTGCTGAATGGAATGTATATTCCTGTTTGTGTCTTTTTGTAACTTAAGGTTTTGCCTAGAGGGATTCTCTATGTTTTGAATCTGATTACCCTGTAAGGCATTTACCATCCTGATTTTACAGAGGTGAGTCTTTTACTTTTTCTTCAATTAAAATTCTTCTAAGAACCTGATTGCTTTTTCATTGTTCTTAAGATCCAAGGGTTTGGGCCTGTGTTCACCTATGCAAATTGGTGAGGATTTTTATCAAGCCTTCCCCAGGTAAGGGGGTGTAGGGTTTGGGAGGATTTTGGGGCAGGAAAGACGTTTCCAAGAGGGCTCTTTCCCTGTTATATATTTATTAGACACTTGGTGGTGGCAGCAATAAAGTCCAAGGGCAAAAGGTAAAATAGTTTGTACCTTGGGGAAGTTTTAACCTAAACTGGTAAAAATAAGCTTAGGGGGTTTTCATGCAGGTCCCCACATCTGTACCTAGAGTTCAGAGTGGGGAAGGAACCTTGACAGCTCCCTTCTAATATCATTTGGCAGCTGCCTGCTTTATCCTCTGCTTGCAGGAAGAGCAGCCCGAGCAGCCCGTAGCTGGTGGGTGGTTGGAACCAGGGTGGACCAGCAGCCCCCCACTCCCCCATCAGCTCCCCGCTCCCCTAAGTTCCCTGTGCAGCAGCTGCTCAGCAGGCTATCAATTGCCAGGAGTTCAGCTGTCCCTCCCCCCCACTGCCATGTGCTGCTCCTGCCCTCTGCCTTGGAGTTGCTCCCTGAGACTCCTGCTTGCTTTTGGGGGGGAGGGGAAGAAGGGGGGGCTAATGTCAGGGTGTCCACCTTTCCCCCACTCCTGCACCCTGCTTACCCCATCTTCCATAGAGCAGGGGGGACAGGGGCGGAGAGAGCTGCTGCCTTAGGCAACAGCTGAGGTCTGGTCTCAGCTTGCTGATCTAATTAACAAGGCAGTGTACTTCTGACCCCACTCTTCATACTTAAAGGGGAAATGGGCATCTCTATTTCTCAAACACGCACAGGGTGTGTGCCTCTGCCTGCCCTCCCCCCTTTCCTGCTGCCTTGTAGAGTGTGAGAGTTAATCCTTGAGGGCTCAGCCAACTGCTAGTTCATCATTTAGCAGTAAGGCATTCCCTGGGAAATATCCCACCCTCTGACTCCCCCACCTCAACCAAACTTCACAATCATCATCACTGTGTAGGAGTATTAAATTGTTTGTTTAAAACTTATACTGTGTGTAAATACATAAAATAGT